AACATAGTGAAACCTCGTCTCTAAAAATAAATAATTAAAAGTTTAAAAATCAGCCAGGCATGGTGGTACACACCTCTGGTCCCAGCTACTCAGGAGGCTGAGGCAGAAGCATCGCCTGAGCTCAGGAGCTGCTGTGAGCCATAATTGCCATGATAATGCCACTGCACTCCAGTCTGGGTGACAGAGTGAGATCCCAAATCCAAAACAAAACAAAACAAAACTTAGCCTTGGAGTCAGTTTTGCAAGCACACTTTGTCAGAGAACCCCAATATATAAAATAGATAAACAAGAGGACTGCTCAGGGGGAAGTAGGGGAGGGTAGCCTTGAATCTCCATCCTCCTGCTTGGGGTCCTGCTCCCCATCTTTCCTGCCATCCCCTATCCCCAATCCTCTGCTGCTCAAGCACACAACACCCACCACACCCTATGCCTTTGTTCATGTCATTCCCTCCCTTTGAATTCCTTCCTTCCCACAGACCACCTGTTGGGCTCCTGTTTGTCACTCAAAACCTCTTCTGGAAAACCCTTGACACTTCCTGAGTGAGGCCCTACCATGGCTGTGGGTACACATGTCTGTTCTCACCTTGCCTGGATGGATGATAAGTCACCCCTATGCCTGTCTGACCCCGTTCTCAGACTGGGAGCACCCCCAGGGAGCTATCTAGACCAGCTCTGTATCACCAGTGCGCAACACAGACATACCCTTAGGATACACTGATGGAGTTGGCACAAAGAGAAACAGAAATGGGCACCTGCTGGGCTTGGAAGGGGCCAGAGGGAAGTGAGAAGGCAGGAGAGAGAGCGAACTTATTCCACAGCTGTTTGAAAAACAAGAAACGCCTGAGCCCAGGGCTTGAGACCAGCCTGGCAACTTGGCAAGACCTCATCTCTACAATAAATCAAAAAAATTAGCCTGGTGTGATGGCTCACGCCTGTAGTTCCAGCTACTTAGAAGACTGAGGTGGAAGGATTGCCTGAGCCAGCAGGTAGGGGCTGCGGTGGCTGTGAGTATGCCACTGCACTCCAGCCTGGAGGACAGAGTGAGACTCCAACTCAAAAAAAAAGAGAAAGAAAAGAAAAGCAAGAAACACAGTAGTCACTAGTCAAACCTGGGCTGCTAACATGAGACAAAATCTGGATTAGTTCCATCATGAGTTACTGGCTAAACACATTCTGGGTTAAAGATAGTATCCTCAGAGTGGGGGTTGGGGAGGGCAGGAGCCGGTGCACAGTGCCCAAAGTGGTGTGACAAATGGGGGTTGGCTTCTGAGGAGCAAAGAATGCCAGTTTCAGGGTGGTGAGTAGGGGTAGTAGGCAAGGGCCAACCCAGACACCAGGCACCGAGCAGCCAGAGTGGGGTGTGAGCCAGTCGTCCAAGTCCCCGCAGCTGCCCCAGACCAGGGTCAACTGAGCAGGGCATGGGTGGAAACCAGACAAAGCAGGGTGTAAAGCCTATCTACTTCTAGAAGGGCCCTGCAGGGATGGAGAAAGGCTGCCCCTGTGAGCCCTCCAGGCCCAGGGCTCCCACCACCACCCGACATGGGCTCCCAGCAGCAATGGGCCATCATTCAAGATTGTGCAGGGTCCCCAGGCTCCTAACCCACCTGAGCTTTGCCCACCGGCCTGATCCTTAAATAAAAACTCAGCATGAAGTGTAGTGTCGACCTGATGCAATATCTATTTTTTGCCCTGGACCCTACTGAGTTGATGTCCTGGAATGCCTCTCTCTGAGAAAATCATTATCAGTTTTAAATTCAGATTATCCCACTCTCCACAACACACACTACACACACACACACACACAATCACCATCCTAAAGAGATAAAGGATGCTGTGTGCAAATCCCCAAACTGACAAAGAATGTGAACTAGCATGGAGGTAAGAGGGGGAGCCCCCAAAAGACAGACTTATCTTTTGGGGGAATGGATTCCTAGAACTGTTCTAGGAGCCCGTCAGCATCAGTGTACCAGTTAGCATCGTAAGAGGCTGCATTCAGCTTCAGTGAGGTTGTTTGTTTTGGAAATTCTTTCGACGCATTTGCCCATTTCATGATGGGTGATTCACTTCCCCACACTGCGCTGAGCGTTCAGCAGTTTTTGACCAAAAACGGCAGGACCCCACTCTCTCTATTCACTGGATCTCCCCGAGTGACTTTTTTGTTGTTGTTGTTTCACCGGATGAAAAAAGGTCCTCAAAGGGAAACATTTTGCCGATGTGGAAGAGGTGAGACAAAAAACAACATAAGTACTAAAAGGCATCACAACTGATGAGTTCAAAAACTCTTTTGACCAGTGGAAAAGGTGTTTCGATAGGTGTATTGCATCAAGCGGAGAATACTTTGAAAGTAACTAAAGTTTACACATGCAAGAATAAATAGACAACTTTTAATAAATAACTTACATGTATTTTGAGTCCCCCCTCATATCAAGTCAAGGGTAAAGGTGTTGACTGGACGTTCCTGCATCTCTGAGCCTCCGAGGGCTCGTGTGTGTGTGTGTGTGTGTGTGTGTGTGTGTTGTGTGTGTGTGTGTGTGTGTTCATTAGCCTTTAGTATACAGGTCAAAGACTCAGTCATTATTTCAATGTGCAGATGTTCTCAAAGGATCAAAAAAGGGGGAGAGAAAAAAAAGAAAAGCCCATCTCCACGCTGACTATTTCTCCGTGAGATATTTTGAGCTACTCTTCAATCATAGGCTGGGGGTAATTTTAGCAACCAGGGAGTGGAGAGCTGAGAGCGGGTAACTGTTCCATTTTGCTTTCAAAGTACTGGATTAGCTCAATTGTGAGAGCCCATTCATTCTGCGGTTCAGCAAGTGGCCTTGAGGGGACAAAGCCACATGTTCCCAAGAGAGCGCAGCACCGGCTTTGTGGCTGTGTTTGTAGAATCCCCTGAGTTACTATCTTTAGCTGCGGCCATGTTTTCCTTTGGTTAATGTTTTTGTGGCTGCTGTTGCTCTGGCTTTTTTTAATTCACTTATTTATGTAGCCAACAAGTATAGGGTGAGTGCTCGGCCCCACAGCAGGCACCAGAAGCTGTCAGCGATGACACCACTGCAGTTCCTTCTCCACAGAGTACCAGCAGAGACAGATGAGTAGATAGGCCAGTCCGGCATTTTCACGGGAAAGCCCATGGAGCCAGGGAGCCCTGATGCAGGATAAAAAACAAGGATTTGCAGAATCAGGGTGGCTGACTGAGCCCCACCCAGGAGGACATGCCATTGGCCCGTCCCTCCAGGAATCCCAGAGGTCCCAGTCACAGTGTGGCTTAAAGTCTTCTGGGCACCACTCCTCAGTTTTGTTCTTGCAGCTATGGTGACCTCTGCATCTCCAAATTAGGCAAATAAGGCTGTCCCGTTTTTCTAGGCTGGCAGCTTCTGGGTTGTGCTCCCAAGAGGCCTCTAGTCCCGAGAAGGGTTTCAGGGCTGCCCAGGGAAGGCAGAGACCAGCCAGGAGGCTTCCCTCAGATCCTCCTGCTCTCCTCTGACTTATACCTGGGTGCAGTCTGTTTGGAAAAGTAAAGGGACTACTCAGATGCCCATCGATGAGTAAATGGATTCATAAAACATGATCTACACACACAGTAGAATATTACTCAGCCTTGGAAGGGAAGGATATTCTGGCACATGCTACATCATGGATGAAACTTGAGGACATCATGCTAAGTGAAATAAGTCAGGCACAGAAAGGCAAATATTTTATGATTCCACTTATATAAGATACCTAGAGAAGTCAAATTCAGAGAGACAGAAAGTGAAATGGTGGTTGCCAGGGGCTAGGGAAGGGGGGAAATAGGGAGTTATTGTTAAGCGCAGGAGTCCCCAAGTCCTGGGCCATGTCCAGGGCCTGTTAGAAACTAGGCCACACAGCAGGAGATGAGTAGCAGGCGAGCAAGCGAAGCTTCATCTGTATTTACAACCGTTCCCCATCGCTCACATTACAGCCTGTGCTCCATCTCCTGGCAGATCAGCAGCAGCATTAGATTCTCATAGGAGCGTGAACCCCACTGTGAACTGTACATGTGAAGGATCTAGGTTGCACACTCCTTACGAGAATCTAATGCCTGATGATCTGAGGTGGAGCTGAGGCAGTGCTGGGGAGCGGCTGCAAATAGAGATTAACATTAGCAGTGAGGTTTGACTGCACAGAGATGATGACAAATCAATTGCTTGCAGACATATCAAAACTCTGTCAGTGAGTGGCAAGTGAGTTGCTGTACTTCAGTTGTACAGCTACATCTGGTGGAAGGCTTTAAGTCAGGATCTGACATTTATTTTAGTCTGCACGTGGCCCGCCCATTATTTTGTTTACCACTTCCATCCACACTTCTTTTTTTTATGGTGAGTTGTATAATTATTTCATTATATATTACAATGTAATAATAATAGAAATAAAGTACACAATAAATGTTATGCACTTGAGTCCTTCTGAAACCATCCCTATCCCCCTGTCTGTGGAATAACTGTCTTCCACAAAACCAGTCCCTGATGCCAAAAAGATTGGGAGCGCTGGTTTAATGGGTATGGAGTAACACTGTAAACATGTTTCATGCCACTGAACTACACACTTAAAAATGGTTAAAATGGTAAATTTTATGTTACATTTATATTACCACAACAAACATTCAAAAATAAAGGGACTGATGGTTCAGGGAGTAGGGAGGACAATCCCAGATTTAGGCCAAAGCTCTCAGATCACAAACAAGGCAGCTGCAACTTGAGATGGAAGTACCTTATCCCAAGTCACTGGTATCCACAGTTCAGCTGGCCTGGAACCAAGGTGGGTTCGTGCCCAGTGCAACACTCACTGTCTCACAGACGTCTGGGTCCTGTCTGGTTCCAAGACCCGATGCACAGAGCCAGAGACACAAGCTGCAGCATCACGGGCTCTTGGGGAGGAGGCAGGGTGCCCGCCACCTCTGTGTGTCTGCTGGCTGTGGTTGGGGACCCGGGACTGCCATTAGCCGAAGCCCTTCCAGCAGCTGACCTGTGTTTCCGTTGCAGATAGCGTCCCTGCTCAAGGACAATGAGCGCATCCAGTCCACCCAGACTGTCACCCCCAACGACGAGGACAGCGACATCAAGAAAATTAAGAAGGTCTGTACCGTCCCTCTGGGTGGTCCTCTTTTGAGAGCCAGCGTTGTCCACTCACTGTCCCACTGTCCCTAGGGCATGTCCCTCATCTACCCACCCACCTCAGCTCCAGTGACAGAGCCCATGACCCCTTACCCCTTACCTCTGATTGGCCTTCTCCAGCCATTTCTTCTGGGTATCCTGTGAGGTAGAGCGGTTCAGTCCCATTTTATAGATAAGAAGACTGAGGTTCTATTAGGGGAAGGAGTGGGAAGAACCAGGATAGGAACCCAGGCTGAGAACTTTCCTCTCAAGGCCCCCAAGGAGGGCCAACATCCCAGGCCATCTCTCCACTGTCTGTCCCTTGAATGCCCTCCCCACTGTCATGCACACACTACCTCTCACAACCACCATGAGTCCACAGCAGGCCTGGCATGGAAGCCCAGGCTTTATAAGGCCCCATGGTCAGCACTTCCTTTTACCCTATCAGAGTTCAGAGGGCAGACATCTCAGAAGGCAGCAGGAATCAGGCCAGAGACCAGCGTATGACATATCATGGGCCACCCTGAGATGGTGTGGCAGAGGGGAGGAACGTGGGCTGTGTTTCAGAGGAGCCTGACTCACTCTAAGAAAAACAGGTAAAACTGAGAATCCTATTTGCTGAGAAGGCACAAGGACACCAAAGCCATCCAGACCAGAAACTGCAAACTGGTGTCCCACGGCCAACTGCAGCCTGCCAGTGTGTTGGAAGTTTTCAGCTCACACAGTAGAGATTTTTCGGTTTTCTTTTTCTTTAGTTTGTGGCCAATGCGTTAAACGCTAAACACATCACGCAAAAATCTAGATTTCTGGTTTCTCAAAAATAGAAATTTTATTTTATTTTATTTTATTTTATTAACCACTTTCCGTGTTCCAGACGCGATTTTAGGAGCTTTTTGCAGATTCATTCATTCTATCCTCGCAAAAACCCTCTGAGGTTTTATTATTTTCATTTTATATGGAGAAGCAGAGACACAAAGAGGTTGAGTAACTTGCCCAAGGTCACACAGTTAAGTGTTTGCAGAGTGACATTCAGGGTCCGTCCATTTCCCGGCCACTGAGCTCCAGAGTCCACACCACTGGGACACGCTGTCTCTTGGAAAAAGAATAGGTCCAACAGCCCCAGGCTACCTCCCACACATGATGACAACTATGTTGCCCTGTGACATCCCCATCATCTAGCTTCATGCACCTCTAGGATCTGCCCCACAGGCATTAGGACTTGTTACCGGGTCTGAGCCAAACCCCATCCCCAAGGCCTGCCTTCTCTGCCACCGTCCATGAGCTTCCAGCCCACACTCTATTCAGACTAACTGTTCCAGTTGAAACAATTCACGAAAGGCCAGCTGAAATCCACCTCCTGTCTGAAGCATCAGAGTAAGCCCCTCCCTCCCGGAGAAAGGCCCTCCCTCCTGGAGAAAGCCCTACCCTCCTGGAGTAGCCCCTCCCTCCAGGAGAAAGTCCCTCCCTCTTGGAGGAAGCCCCTCCCTCCTGGAGGAAGGCCCTTCCTGTCTTCAGAGATGGCAGCTGGGGCTCAGGCAAGTTTGGTCCCCCTCCTGGTGATGGCGCCCACCCCTAGCCAGTGACCACACATGGATGGCAGCTGTACCTGCTGGTTTTGACCTGTGTCACTTTCAGTGGAGAATACTCTGATGAGCACCTCTACCTGGTCCCCAGTGCCCCCCAGCACCCCAACACCCTTGTTCCAGCTGTCCTTCCTCCCCCTTACCCACTATTTGCCATGCAGACCATACAGTTGCACACAGCTTGACAGCAGGAGGCAGGGAGCTAGGGGGCCCCTTGGTTAGACGCTGTGCAGCCCAGAACGACTCTCTGAGTGTACGCAGCCAAGACCCTTCCTGGGTTCTTGCCAACACGAGGTCACCCCAAGCAGCCCGGCGCCAGGACCGCTGAGCTCAGGGTCTGTCCATTTCCCTACTGAGTCAGGAGGAGCAGCTCTAGGCAGGCGCTGGGCTCCGCTGGTGAGGCCTGAGCACAAGATTAGCTAATTTGCTGTGTTCTGTTCAATTTGATAATCACCCTCTCTCCAGAAGAGCTTTAATTGAAACCTCTGGGCTTTCAGGCCAGTCATTAGACAGGACAAGGTGTGAGCTGTGCGCAGTGCAGCCTGGCAACCCTTGATGGGGACTCTGGCTGAGTTTTTCCTCTGGCAAAAGCTTCCAAAGCAACCCAGGGATCTTGCTAAAATGCAGAGGTCTGGGGCGGGGCTTGAGAATCTGCATTTCTTTTTCTTCTTCCT